CTCTCCTCCTCTCTCTCTCTCTCTCTCTCTCTCTCTCTCTCTTATGTCTTAATTGCATTTACCCTTTGTGTTCTTCGACACTCTCCCTCTGTCTCTCATGGAGGAGCCGCCCTACCACCCCATTGAACCTTGCAACTTCGATCTAATCCTCTCAAACACAGGCTTTCCGCTTTCCATCATAGCCGCGGCGGCCTCCATTGCTGGAAAATCAGTTCTCCACTTAGACCCCTCCCCCCTCTATGGCTCCCACTACTCCTCTCTCCCCTTGGACTCCTTCATCTCTTTCTCTCAAAACTCTAACCCTAATCCCTCCCCTTATTCATCTCCTGACATGCCAGACGAAGAGGCTGACTATAGGGCCCTAACCGTAGAATACAGGCCTCTTTTCTCTGCTTTCGAGCTCTCTACCCACTCTTCTGACCACTTGGGTCCCTCAAGAAGCTTCAATTTAGATTTGTCGGGACCTAGGGTTTATCTCTCTAGGGATTCAACTGTTGATTTGTTGTTGAGATCAGGAGCTAACAATTACCTGGAGTTTAAGGGTATGGAGGCGACCTTCATTTGGTATGAGGATGGGCTTTTTATGGTGCCTGAATCAAGGAATGCAGTGTTTAGGGATCAGAAATTGGGGTTTTTGGAGAAAAGGCATTTGACTGGTTTTTTCAAGCTTATTCGTGAGGGTGGTTTCGATGAGAGGGAAATGGAGGGTTCCTTTGTGGAGTTCTTGGAGAAGAAGGGGATCTCACCTCTTATCAAATCGTACAGATCACATTACTCTATTTTTTTCGTTAGTAAGAAATCTTTCGATTGGCTTTTGAGTTCTGGAAATTACAAGGTTCTAGAATTGGGTGTGTCATTTTTGTTTTCGTTTGGTTAGTTTGTTTAGCTGAATATTACTTGGGTTTTTTATCCTATGTTGTCTATATTGTTTTTTGTAAATTTTTTTGGCAATGGAAACACCTTTCTCCTGTTTGTTTGCTTTCTCAGAGATTATTAGAATTTCCATCAACTCTATTCAAAATTTCAAATTGCCGGTGAGTTGTTATGTTTGATCATGAAATGTTGTGGGGATTGTTGGTTTATGTTTAGGATTTGATACCTTTATGAATATGGCAAAGCGAAAAGTTGTAGATGGGTCTAAGAAGGTGACGACCTTAAACTTTCCTTTAACTTATCCCAAGCCCGTGTAAAAGAGGTGGGTTGTGTTGGCTAGGTGGCAACCAACGTAAAACTTTTCCATAACTATTCATGAATCCTGAATAAATGTTAAGGACATGGTTGGAAGTAGTGATAAAGGCTACGGAGACCTATTTCTTCACTGACGGTATGGCTCTTGATAGAGCTGAATGGCAGACCATGATTTGTAAAGCCAACCTCAATTAGTTGGGAAGTCTTTGATGACGATGATGCTTTTAATATTGTAGATAAGTATTGATATTGTGATTTAATTACTAGTGATGATTTGTTTATTTTGTTTGAATTGGAAATACTAGGGCTTGGGAGTGAAGGTTGTATTTTATGACCTGTTATTTTTTAGTTTTTGAATGTGGGGGATTACAAAGTATGAAACAGGAAAAGATTGTTAACTTTGTTTCCTTATTCGAACTTTTGTTTAAATCTTTGGAATTCGGTTTGGAAAAGCGAACTCAACTTGTCATTATCACACCGTGCTCAATCTATAGCATTTGGATTGCAAACCGTGTAGATTTTGATTGAGTTGTCGATTCTTTTGTTTCTTATTATTGCTTAATTTTATCTGGAGAAGTTCTTTGTTTAGTGGATTAAGGTCCTTTCGTATGATTGACTGATAAAAATTATTATGCTTCTTGCAACTTGGTGAGGCTGAATTGTTTTTATGAATCCTTGAAATTGCACAAGCTTGAAGCAATCGGTATGTTTTGATGACAATCATAGAAATAATGGTCCACAATTTTCTTACTTTTATTATTTTTGGTTTAATTTTATTTTATTCATGATTTTAGCATTATTGTCATTTTCAATTTTTATGTGGAGAAAACCCACGTATCTTCCATTGCATCGGCTGAAGAGTGGGATCTGAAGTAAAATTGACAATGCCTTGACTGATTTAGTACTTAGACATGCTTAGTGCTTATACAGTATTTACTTTTTAATGGATGATGGTATCTAAATCAGTAATATGGAGTGTATTGAGTTGTAGATTAAAATATTACATTGTACGGTTTGTTGCTCAGTTCCTTTCTTCCTCCCACACATTTGTGACATTGTTGTCAATTTCTTTTCTCCGTACAGGATTATTTTATATGCAATTGCTTTGGCTGACTATGACCAAGAGAAACCAAAAGATCACAACAATCTTCTTAGTACAAGGGATGGAGTAGAAAGTTCTTCTCTCTACCTCTCATCTGTGGGAAGGTGAACTTTCTAAAATTACATGACTCGTTTCTGTTTTTTTTTCGAGCTTGTTATTAAAAATTTTCTGGGCCAACTTGGGACTCACCTGAGTTGACTTGGATTGGGAGAAAGGCACTTCCAAGCAATAAAACTCCGGAATTGCCTGAATATCCTTTTCTAATATATATTTTCAAGTTTTTGTTTCAAAACTTCCCATGTCTGACTAGGACTTATGACCTCATTGAGGGTATGACCTATAATGAGCAGAATGGCAGACCAAGATTCGTGTAGTGGACCCCAATTAATTGGGAAAAGGCTATGATAATGATGATGTTGATCTTCAATATTATTACCTGGTGGAGACTCTGAATCTCCTGATGGAAGACATTAGAAAGAAACTAGAAACTTGAAAATAACTTTATAGAAGACATCATAATAGTATAAACATAAAAAAACCTATTATAAAAAAAAATAAAAATAAAAAAATCATAATTGCACTTGCAAACTTTAAGATTGCGAACTCCAAAGATAATCTAATAAGCTCTCAACTCTCAAGTTTCTCAAATCTCAAAGTCAAACACACAAGTTATCCTTCTTCAAATCAATGCCCAAGCTAATTCCAATCAACAACCCAACCAAGACCCAAAGCAATCCGACGATTTCGAGCCCAAAAAAAAAAAATCGCCCAAATTTATTTATTTATTTACTGCTTTTTATGATAAAACAGCCACTGCTGTGTGTGTTTTTTTTTTTTGGGGGTGGGGGTAGTTTGGACTTCCAAAACCCTTTCCCTCCCTTTCCAGTAGAAATCACCTTATTGCCCATGCTCTTGGGCATTATCTTTGCCTCCGAGCCTGGGCCGTGTATGTAGTGCTTTGAGGCGATGCGCCTCAGGCCGCATAGCACATGATGCGGCCGCATAAAGCACTATGCGCCTGCATTTTAAAACACTAGTTCGCTTCTTGTCATTTCTTCTTTTGATATGCAAGTCAATTTTCTTTGGATGTAAAAACAAATAAAAGGAAGTGGATGCAAAGTTGCGGCATTTATCATGACGGAAAATCACAACAGCCCAATCAATTCCTGAATAGTAGTTAACCAATCTATTGGCCTCCAACTTAGCCATGCTTTATGAAAATAAGATATCAATGAACTTCTATGAAAGGGTTTTACTGGATTCAGCCAATTATCTCGCTCGTGGGATATCATTGAGAAATAGGAATCTGAAATGAGAGATAAATTGGATGGTTATTTTATTAGGGATCCAATCATTTGGTCATCAAGGAACAAAAACAAAGAAGATAAAAAGAAAGAGATGCTGATTGACAAAAGAAGAAGAATTTATGGGATATGATCCATCTATATCTAAGGTTTCAATTCGAAATCTTGGTCCAAGTCCTAAAAATATTATGTACTCCAAACCTTTCTGCTTTGATATGTATGATGAATACATACTTATTTTCTTAGATTAGACTTGTTACAAATAAAACAAGTTGAGTTCCATACACATGAAAGATTCACACTTTTGTTTTGGCGAACCAAATGAAATGATGGTTTTGTATACCTTGGAATGCTCCCTTAGCCGCAGGCGGGGAACATAAGGGAGTGAAAATAGGATCTGACACTAACATGTTAACTTTTTATCTTCCAACCTAATTCTTCCTCAAAATTCCATTTTGATTAACCAATTCTTACTAGAACTATGGATCTTAGAATGACCCTTATATGTCAACAATGTCCATATTGTTAAAAATTCACAATTGATTTAAAGATCATTGGTTTCTGAGAAACTTTCTTCCATATTCATGGGCTTAAAGATGTTGGTTTGAGAGATCTGTTTTAAAGATGTTCCTTTGAGCCACCTGATTTAAAAATGTTCTTTTGAGCCATCTGATTTGAAGATGCCCCTTTGAGCCATCTAATGGTATTTGAGGAATTACCTTCTATGATGACTGGCCCTTCAAAGTCTTTGGCATGATGCGTCTTCCAGCTAACTTCAATACGACTAGTGATATTCTATGTTGAAGTTAAATTCATCTAACACCAGTTGTGCTTTCTTAAGGGATATTTTCATGTGAAAATTTGACCGAGGTGGCTACGAAAATGTCTTCAATCTTAATAAACGGACTAAATACACACGCCCTTTTTAAAATAATTACGGAATTGATTTGCGAGCTGATATGAAAATGATTGGAACTGGCCTTAGTTCGATGCAATAAATATTTTCTCTTTTTTGTACCCTTGGATGAAACTTGGTTAATACTTTACTATCAAGTCTTTAGAAGAAAGGAAAGAAAACTAACCCATCCCCCACCCTGGCTCTAAAATTATTTGTTCGCCCCCCTCACCTCCACATGCTCTCTCTCTCTCTCTCTCTCTCTCTCACACACACACACACACAACTTGGGGCAAGGTCTAGTTTCATTGTGCTCAGTTGTGATCACTGCATCCTTATTGTTGGATGTCCTTTTTCAGGTTTCCTAATGCTCCGGGGGCCTTTATCTATCCCATGTATGGCCAAGGAGAACTTCCACAGGCATTTTGCCGATGTGCTGCCGTGAAAGGCGCCATTTATGTAAGTTCGTATTGAGGATTATTTAAGTGTATTCTAGTAGCTTTAGGGGCACATTTTATTGGGCATTAGTGAAGAACACACTTGCATCATCATTCTGTATTCATATTCTGAACATGTTCTATCTCTATAGGTTGAGGGTTTTGTTTTTTGATGCATTGTCATACCATCTAAATTTTATGCTTGTAATTTGTTTAGAATACATGTACATGTTCATAACCACTACATCTCATCGTTTGCAATTTTATGCATACTACATCTGTAATGTGCTAATTATTGAAAAGAAAATTTACAGCGAGCATGTCATCTTGTATCTTTTGGGAGCCCGAATTAACATCTGCAAGTAGCTCATGAACCCATTCATCTACTTCTATTCTCTATTTTTGAAGCCCAGCTACACATTCACGCGGAGGTAGGTCATAGAAACTCAATTCACTCCACATCCCTTTCAAAACAACAAAATCTGTAGAAGAGACTTCTCTTTTAGTTGACAATGTGCTATGTCATGATGAAGTTAGGATACACAAACACTATGATCCTTTTGAGAGAATTGCTATTGAAGGGCATTCCATATTTTCTTGCCATTTTCTGAAACATAATATTATCACGTGTATCATGATTCATAGAGTTAAGTGACCATGTTATGTCTATTGCATCATTAGCTCTCCATTCACCGAATTTTGGATATGTAGAACTAGGGGCTTTGATGTCCACCCATTTTCTATTTAATTTTGTATTTATATAATAAGCGTATTTGCCAATATTGTGTGTAAGGTTATTTCATCCATTCTATTTGATGGTCATAATGTGCGTTATTGGATTGTTAAGATGCAAATTTGAGTGACCAAGAGATGTTTCTTTGGCCATGGGTGGGCGCACGTGCATGCGTGTGTTGAATGCAACAACATAAAATGCCCAAAAGATGGCCACAAAGGGCCTGGAGATGTAATTGCTAGGACAAATGAAAGTGTTTTTCTAAAACATGAAGTAAAAATTATTAACCAAAATCTTGTTTAGATCAATAAAGAGTTACCTGAAAAAAGGCCTGCAAGCTGTATAATATGAGTTATCTTCACAGGGAAAGTTCCAGAATTCATTGAACTTCAGTTACATATGCATAAGGTTTGACAAAACTATCGGTGTCCATCTGGAGACCAAATTTGATTCTATTACTGTATATCAATCTTTAAAACATATGCTAGGCAAGCATGGAAGCAATAGAAAATAAGAGAGCATACAAATGTAATACTCTTATGATCCCAAACTTTCTCAAGATAAGGGGATGCTTAAAATGAACAAGTTCCTTTACGAGATTGACTTGATCGTGCTTCAAAGTTCACAGAAAAAGTAGCGTGAAAATCCTTGTTTTCTTTTAAAAGAATTAAATTAGTTAGAAAATCCCTTCAGTATATATGTCAAAGAACTCAGCTTGACATGCCGACGCGAAGCCCTCAACAAAATTGAAGGTTTGAAGCTCTCTGAGCAGGTGACATCATCATTATGTAGTGGTGACGTCAATCCTAGGTTCTGCCAAAAAATAAAGTTTGCTATTGAAGGCTTTTCCATATAAGATTAAACAGGTTGCTTCTTCTTGGATGAATAAATCCTAAGCACAATGGATTTATTCATCCAATAAATTCATTCACTTCATGCATAGATCTAAGCAGCATGATGTATATTTGAGGAAGCGGGAGGTGAGCAATTTAAATCACTGTGTTGGTACCATGTTATAATAGCTTATTTAGTGAGAAAGGGTTGAACCGCTGCTAGCCCACACAACAATGTTGAAGAAGAGAAACAAGACAAAATGAATTGAACATTGATTGTTCTGGCACCATTTCATATATTTTATATTTCTAACATTTACAAAAACTGCCTTGGGACTTTTTACATTGTGCTTTTGAGCCCTTATAGGGTACCCATGAAGGACAACGCACAAGGATACCCTTTAGCCATCTTGAGGCAGTCAATCACATCATATGCTACTTAAAATCATCTCTGGGGAAGGGGATACTTTGTGCCGCTTTTCTCACATTGATTTATGTGGGTATACTAGTACGGATTGGGTATACCATCACTGGGTATTGCAGTTTCTGGAGGCTTTTTTTTAGTCTACTTTCTGAAGGCAGAAAACAAAATGTTGTAGCTCGCTCTTCTTAAAAATCAATATCAAAATATACAACTTCTTCATGTGAGCTGGTGAAATTGAAAACACTTCTTAAAGATATGGGTTTTCTTCTTCAAGGGTCTATCCTATTCTATTGCGATAATCAGATTGCTATCCACATAGCAACCAACAATAGTATTTCATGAGCATACTAAACACATTGATATAGATTGGCACTAGGTGTTTGACAAAATAACTTCAAACTTCTTCTCCACTCCATATGTGTGAACTTCTGAACAGCTTGCAAACTTTTTTTTACTAATTATTAGCAAGTTAAGCATTCATGCCATTCATGGACCAACTTGAGGGGAATTATAGACAGATGTGATTTGTTAGGGTATATTTGTCCTTTATGTATATTTTGTACTATGCTTACATTATTTTATTTATGATCCATATAAGGACTTAAGCATAAAATGTAAAAAATCCCAAGGAAGTTTCTGTAAGAGGCAAAATGGTGCTGGAATGGTAGTTCCGCATTTTTTTGTCTTGTTTCTCCTTCAGCGTTGATATGTGAGCTCGCACCACTTCAACCTGTCTCATCAAATGATCTATTATAACATTGGGGCTCAATTGGCATCAAAAGGGCCTAATAAATTGATTTTTCTGCTAATTTATTAGAATAATGTTCATCACCATCATCATTTTAGCCTTTTCTCAATTAATTGATGAATCTTGATTCTCTGTTCTGCTCAATTAAAGGTCATATCCTTAGTGAGGCCATCTGTCCCCATATCTTTTCGGACTACTTTCAACCACGTTCTTTTGGGCATACCCCTTGCTCTTTTCAGTTAATAGGGGGAGAATGTTTGAGGCTTTGAGCTGTAGTCCTTCACTGCCAAATCCTGCTGAGTTATATTGGTTTGTTGAAAAAAAAAATGGCCAGGCTGCAAGATTAATTCTTCATAGTCTCGCACCTACTTCATTCACAATATGCTAATCATTTGTTTTTGGGTAATTAAAGTGGTAAGTCGGTGGGGATTTGAGCCCCTATCTTTTGGTGATAATGGAGTCAAAGACCTCACCACGGGGCTCGACAATACTGCCGCCAAGGCCCCAGGGCATTCTCATATGCTTAACATTTAGCTACTATTATCCACACAATGGTGTTCTAACGTTGATTGATTTCTAGGTTTCAATTATAAAGAATACTTTGATCAATTCTTGGAAGCAACATATATCAAGTATCTGATTTACAGAGACTTTTCTGTTTTTGTAATTAGACATCTGAATAACTAGATATTCGATTTGGGTTGATTGAATGTTTTGGGGGTGAGGGTGGGATGGATAAATTGTTTCAGAATTGGCACCCCTGTGGGCCATTTTGCCAGTCAGTGAGCTAGTTTTCTGTCTGGGCAAACACTTGAAAGAATGAAGGGTTGGCAAGCTTGGTTCTTGGAATTGCATGCTCGTGACTAATGAGTATGTCACGACCTTTGCATTGGGCCCTCTTGGTTTTGCACTTATGGGCTTATGGGTTACATTATAAATTAATCTAGAAAACCATAGCATATAGTTAGAAATGAACAATGGAAAAAGGCAGATGGTTGTCAAGATACCCGGAGTGTAACATTATGCTTCTTTCTGGGAGACCACACGTATTCCCTTCTTTTTAATGCCTTTGATTATTTTGTTTGGTTAATAATAACATAAATGAATAATTTTTCAAAAAAAAAAAAAAAAAAATGAATGTCAACTCCATAAATTTGAAACTTACCCTAAAAAAAACTCCATAAATTTGTTTGCTTAGCATCCGAGGTGTATCATATAGTGAACCATAGACAATTAGTCCTTGCCAGCTTGTGATACATTTGCCCATGTAAAGAGAGGATATGTTCGGGTCCTTTGCCATATGGTTCATATCTATATTTGTTTACTTGATAATAGCAAGAAAAATTCATCATACATTTCTCAAGTGATAGAACTTTAAATAGATTACTGTTTTGTGATATGTCAATGCTTCTTTTGTTTCCTCGACTCCTGTTTTCTGGATTTGCATTTGTTTAATGATACCAAGCTTTCAAATTATCATATTTGTCTTGAGAATCATTGAAATTTTAACCTTTATTTTTTTAGGTCCTGCGCATGCCTGTGATAGCACTACTAATTGATAAGGTATAAAGGAACTTCAATTTTCCTTTTTGTCCATTTTTTTTGTTTCTCAATTCTCTCCCCACGTTTTTTGCGAATCTCTTCTCACCTTAATTTTTCATTACATGATTGTCTCTCCCATCTTCGGATAGATCCTAGGATCGGAACCATGTAAGCTTTTTTATCAGTGCTGCTGTAAATAATAAGTATTATTTCTTCCCTCTTTTTCTGTTTCTCTATTGTTTAAGTATTGGGACATTTCCTGAAACATCTGCATGGATCATGCTGGTGATCTCGAGACTTGAAAAATCTACATGGTACTTAAAACATGTCAAATTTTTGAAATTGACTATTTCAATTTGGTTATTTCTTTTATTTTACCTTGTTCATTATTTTTGAAACTGAATCAGGTTAAATAGTCTTGACAAGTATGGGTACTGTTTTTGACATTTCAAGCATGTAGACCGCCTGTATGATCTATGCAGCTGATTTAAGTACTGTCCTGGTATCTGTCTAAGAAGATCCCTAAGGACACAATGGACCTGAAAAATTGCTTATGGGCTTTTAAAAGAAAGAGATAATGAGCTAAAATACCATGATATTTGTTGGGGAGCACATACATTTTCCTAAAAATTGTTTCTGGGATATGTGTAGGAGACTGGGCACTATAAAGGCATCCGGGTTTCCTCAGGCCAAGATCTGTTCAGCCATAAGTTAGTCTTGGATCCATCCATTGCTGTACCACCAAAAGTGTTCTCTCCAACCGAGTTGCACAACAAGGAGTTTGAGGGGCTAAGTCTTGACAATGCTATAAAAACTCCAAAGCTGAGCAAATATGTTGCTAGAGGTGTGTTCTTGACAAGAACCTCTCAAAAGCCTGGACTATCCACCTTGCTGGTGGTCTTTCCTCCACGATGTAAGAGCTCTCCTTTTGTATATTTTTCTCTATTAGAATGCAAATGTGTCTTTGTGTTGTGTGTGTGTTTTATATTTGATCCCCTGGGACATGGTTTTTCTTTTGAAGTTAGTTATTGGCTTTCATGGTACAATATGAGGTAGAAAATGAAACTATAATCCAGAGGGATCTGCAAAATCTTAGTCTACTGATTGGGTCATCACTCTCGGTGACAGGGGACCTACTGTTGTTAGCAATTGCTGTTCTGATGTCTGTCATTCCATTGGATGATGATGACTGAGGTGTGCAATTGTCTTCCGTAGTTTGTTGTAGTGCAGTAGATTTTTCCCAATAAAAGAAATCTTATGCTTTGGGATTTGAACATGTGTTTTTAGATTCACTTTGCTTCATCTGAAGAGGCTGCAAGTCTTAATCTTCAGGTTCCAAACCAAAGCAAATCAAATCACACCTAGTATTGTCAAAACATCAGAAAAAAACTGGGATTTTTTGAACATACTGGGAAAATGTGAAAATATTGGCAGAGTATTCTGATATTTCTGAAAAGAGTACTGATATCTTATGGAAGCTCAAATGTCTTACAAAGAATCAAGTTAGATTTTTTTTAGACGTATTATCTTTATATTTGTAGAAAAGGAAAGTCTTTTCTTGAATTGGCCAAAGTGCATCTTAACAGTGTTGATGTAAACTATCGTTTGCAGCATTGTATCCTGAGCAGATGGCAACCGTTCGGGCTCTACAGTTAGGGAGCAATGCATCAGTTTGCCCTAATGGAATGTAAGCTCATGCTTCTCTATACTCTTAATGAAAGACCGATTATTCTTTTTTAATATATGCAAGCTTCTTATACTCTGCAATTCGGCATGTAGAACATCATATATGTTAGTCGTATAATGGTTGTTAATGTCTACATGGAGTGATCTATTTATTAGTTACTCTGGTCTATAAGATTCTCAATGTTTCTCAGCCTAAATAATTAGTGGGCTGTTATTTATATGTTAGTCTGATGTACCCTTGTTCCTGATCTAATTAAGCCTCAAGTTGATCTGGAATAGTTTGTCCATGACATAATGAAAATTGTTGTAGAGTTTGTTCCAAGTTTGATGAAATTTGGTAATACGTATTGCAATCTGCATTTTTTTAACAGAATATGAACTTTGCTACCTTGTTCTGAATGTTACTCCTGTATATGCCAAAATTTAACTGGCTCTGGAAAATTGGGCGGTTTCTTCTATATTTTTAATTTTTCTATATTCAACTTCCATTCATATTTGGTTTGAAACTACCTAACCACCACTCTAACTTTGGTGCACACCGATGGGAATTATTAGTATATGAAAGTATAAGCTAAAATGTACAAGGTTACTGTGATAAAGGCCATAAGCTTGAATGGGTTTTGAATTCCAAGGCCAGCCTGAGCCTCAAACACTTGGTGTTTTATATTTCCTACTCTTGTAAGTTGTAACCCATCCATTCAATTTGAGAAAAACTGGTATGAGCCCAGATTTAATTTGTTTTTCCTAGTGGTTCCAATCCTTTGATTTCTTCGCGCACACTATGGAAAGGCTTTAAGAACCACTTCCTATATGTGCATCTTTCTGGATTAATGTATTTGATCAGTTTCGCCTTTACTTTTGTTTCACAGGTTTGTTGTGTATATTTCAACACCATGTGATGATGCCGCAAAAGGAAAGGAAGTCCTTCGTGCTGCTATGAATGTTCTTTTCATGATTCCTGATGCAATCAGCTCTGAAAATCTCACGCCAACAAGTGAAGGTGTACAGAGAGAGGGAAAGCCAGTTTTGTTATGGTCTGCTCTATATATCCAAGAGATGATAGAGGTACATAAAATATTATTATTTTTCTTTAGTTTAACCTATTTGAACTCTCAGATCTGAGAATAGAAAACATTTGTTGATTTGGTTCGTGCCTTTATTGCATGTTTGAACATAATGAATGTGCTCCTGATTGGCTGTAGGGTTCATCGAACCCAGTTTACTATTGCCCAACACCGGATGAGAAACTTGACTACAGAGGGATATTAAATTCAGCTACTAAGGTATTGTCTTCCGTGGCAATTCATGTTGTTCCATTTGTTAAGTGTTTTGATTTTTTTTCTTTTTTTAAGTTTCAATGTTAATGGTTCTTGGGCACCTGTTTTTTATGTTAAATGGGATTAAATATTGCAAAAATTGTTCTAAGTAGAATCGTAATAAAAAACGATTTGTTAGGCTCTCTGTTCCTTATTTCGAGAGTACTTTAGGATCATCATCATTATCATTTTAGCCTTTTCTCAATTAATTGGGATGGGCTACATGAATCCTGGTTCTCCCATTTTGTTCTATTAAAGGGCATATCGTCAGTGAAGCCATAAGTCCTTGTATCTTTTTCAGTTATATTTGAATTAACTCGCACCTCGTAACAGATACTGTACTTAGTTAGTGCTACACATGGCCAGCCTACCTAAGTCTACTCTCTCGCATTTTATCGTCTATTGGTGGCACGCGTAAATTCTCGCAAATAGATTCATTTTGAATTATATTCCTTCTTGTCTTAGAGTACTTTAGGATAGCCCTAACTTATTTTAAAATATATGCATTTGGGGCCCAATTCTTCCTGCTAAGAAGAATAAACATTGCATCTTGTCCCAGCAATAAGTTCAGTGTTTAGGAATTTGATCCATCTCCGTGAAAAATTAGATGAAAAGATTTACTTCTTTTCGTTTCTCAAAATAAATGAATAGGCCACCAACTTATTCCATTAATTTTTGCCCGGGAAATAGAAGAATTTTATCGTAGTTCTTGATTGCCCTTCAGATTGAGTGCCGGTGATGAGATTTATAAGCATTATGCTTGCCAATCTCCTGATATATATATATATATATATATATATATATATATATATATTCTCTCTCTCTCTCTCTGTGCTAGTTGTTTCTATGAGTATAGTACTACCTATACAGAAACGTACTTTACCTTTACCCGAACGACAGACACGACC